CTGGGCGGTGAGTTTTTACCCCATTGGAACGCATTGAACGGGTTTCAATGCGTTTCAATGGGGTTTTTAATTTCGCTTTATGATGTTTTCGCTTAACACCGATTTTCCTGGAATGGATTACCGTTGTTAAGCGAGGCACCACTGTACTCCTGCTCAGAGAGTGAGACAGGTGGCTCCAAGCCTTTTAAGTTATTTATTTATTAGATTTATATACTGCCTATCTAGAACATGTCTACTCTGGTGGTTATGCCATCCTTTCTGTTGAATGTCTTCAACAGCATCTGCTTTATGGTTCATCTGGCAGCACATGAACTTGGTTTTCTTCTCCCATGCATTTTAAGAACTGATTTTAATGCTTAGAACTTTTCATCTTATTGCTGAATTTATTTTGATTTTACATGCTGCAACATCTATATGCTTCACCTGGATTTCATCTTGGTTTTCTTATGTACTGTCTTTAGTCACTGTTGTATTGTTTGTATTTTACATTTTAATGCAATGTATACAACCTTTTCTATTTTTAATCTATTATGTACTATGTTGGTTATCAGGTAATCTAAAGGTTCATTTAATAAATAAAAATATATACAGATATGTGCTGTTGACAGAAACATTGAACAAGTAGCTTTACCAACAGTTACCATCATCCCTGTTGCAGAAGAAAATAATCAGAAGGCCTGCTGTATTAAATGAGGTTTATGCCCTTATTTTGGCTTCATTTCTTGACATACCTATCAGTATAAGAAACGTAAATAACTAACAGTACTGTGAGAGATGTGTTTGTGATTTAAGGTAGGTGGTAAATCAAACTAAATATTTGTCTCTGAGCACAACCTCATGCTTGTTCTCACTGATGAAGTAAGCCTATCTCTGTTTCTAATTACATGTGGAAAATCCCATTATGGAGTGCTGAACCATAAAAAAAATTCTACCATAGTCTTCCTGACATATCAGGTTGCCACATGGAGGGAAGTTGTGATATTCCTTGATGTGAAGGAGTTTTATATAGAGTGGTGCCTCGCTAGACGATTGCCTCGCGGGACGAAAAACCCGCAGGACAGTTGTTTTTTGTGATCACTATGGTGCCTCACTAGACTTTTTTTCTATGACCGTGCTTCACAAAAAAATTTTGAGACTGATGCTTCGCAAGACTTTTTAAGACTGATGCTTCGCACAACTTTTTTTTTTTTAGACTGATGCACAGGGAATTTCACAAGACGATTTTTTCATAAGACAACGATTTTCGCAGAATGAATTAAAATCATCTTGCGAGTCACCACTGTATTTAATTTATATACCACCCGATTAGTGTATACACACTACTCTGGGCAGTGTGCAGCGTAACACATGAACCTCCACTCCTATTTCCATAAGAACAAATACAGTGAGAAAACCAACCTGAACGTGGTTAAAATACAAAGGGAACTTACATTTCCAAATTAAAAAATTTATGTAACTTCTGCCCCCAACAAAAGTGGTACAGCCCCAGAAAAGTTGTACCACATAAGAGAATTGGGGCTCAAATTTAACAGACAAGACATAGTAGTGTTCAGGGGGTCTAGCTTTACCATAAAAGTTGTTGAGCCACATTACCTTACCATGCCTCATCATTGCAGGACCTTTTCTCTTCTGTCTTCTTCATATCTAACACTGAAACCAGGCTGGAAGAAAAATGCCTACAGCGGTAGAACACAGGTAGGTAAGTCAGGAGTAAGTTTGGTTTCCTACACCCCTCCACCATCCCAACCTGTTTGCTGCAAATGTTATACACAAAGTACATATTTGAATAATAATTATTTCTTCAAACCATCTGGCTCTGTGCACAGATGTTTATCTTTAGGGCATCTCTGAAAGCAAAAAAGCTTTATATTGAATATGTGGAAGAATATTGGACGATCAGTCCTCTGTCATGCTGCATAGGAATGACTGACCATGCTAGAAATGAAACAGTCATCCTTTTCATAGAATACAGAGGGTATTCTGTAAATTTGAAAATAGCTTTTTCTTTGAGCATAATTTATTTTGGTGCTTTGAAGTGTGGAACGGTTAAGGGAGAAACTATAATTAAATGTTTATTGATATATAATATAGTGGGAAATGTAAAATGTAAGATTTGTGTGATTGTGTGATGGTAGTTGTTTTCTAAACCATGTTATCTGGAGGGAAAACATCTGTCTTTCAACTCTGCTTATGTAGTCAGTAAAAATGGTAAAAACTGCAGTACACTTAGTAGAAAATCAGGATCACTGAACGCAATATGACTTCTGTGTGTTTTGGGGGGTTGGCTGGGCTGGGTTTTTCATGGGGTATTCTTGGTTCTCATTTATAAATCTACTGTTAGCTACTTCTAAAGAAGTAGAAGTGAATACTGTATGTCATTTATAACAAATGAGCATTGAAAAGAAAGGTCTTTTCTATGGGATATTTAATTGTGTTCCTGACTGTTTGTAATTAGACATCTTTTCCAGTTTCTTGAAGCTTATGGCCTACAGACTAGTGTGAAGCTTTTTTTAAAAAAATTCAAACTATTGTAGATTGTTCTAAAGAATCTGCATATGATGAAATGGACTGTCCATAAACTGTATGACAGTAACTTTGTAGGACTCTATCGTGTCAACTATGTGCTGCAACAGTTTAAAACCGCTGTGTCTTACAGGTTAATTAGCAATGTTTACTTGCTTTTGGCCTCTTGTAAGTCAGGTGCCACAGCTGTTCTGTACAGGCGAACTATTAAGGTGGTTAAATGCTTGTTTTCATAATCTCTTCAAAGTGATGTCATAGAAATGTTGCAGCGAAAAAGTTATTCTTCTTCACTGCATTTGCACAGAGACATCCACCAGAACTCTTTTATGTATTTAAGGATCTATTATGTGCTGGCCAACAAAAAGAGAACCTAGAATGGGCTATTTAGTGGAGAATTAGCACAGCACTTTGCAGGCAAATTTATTTGGATCTGCTATTAAGGTGGTTAAATGCTTGGTTTCATAATCTCTTCAAAGTGATATCATAGAAATGTTGCAGCGAAAAAGTTATTCTTCTTCACTGCATTTGCACAGAGACATCCACCAGAACTCTTTTATGTATTTAAGGATCTATTATGTGCTGGCCCACAAAAAGAGAACCTAGAATGGGCTATTTAGTGGAGAATTAGCACAGCACTTTGCAGGCAAATTTATTTGGATCTGCTCTGACTTCTGTGCTGTAGTTGATACAGATTTTGTGAATGTAACTTTGCCCCTGACCTGTGCTAATGGATACATTTCAATTCTTGTAGCCTAAAGATGTGGACAGGGCCCTTGGAGAGGTGAAAGCCACAACATGTATACTGGACCCTTTCCTGTCTTGGCTTATTAAAAGCCTCTTACTGATCAAGTACGCAGGAGGAATGTTGCATGTCTCCCTCCAGCAGTTCAGGATCCCAGCATGCTTAAAGGAGGCTATAATAAGACCCTTGCTGAAGAAGTCCCCCTAGAATCCCATGGTATTGGATAATTACAGGCCAGTCAGTTGTTCCATTCCTAGGCAAGATACTATGTGGTGGCTTCTCAGCTCCAAGACTTTTTAAATAAATCCAGATCCATTTCAGTTTGGCTTCAGGCCTGTTTATGGGGCAGAAACTGCTTTGTCACCTTGATGACCTATCCAGGGAACTAGAATGGGGCAAGTGTGTCCCTCTTCATTCCACTCAACCTGTCAGTGGCTTTCAGTACTATTACTATTTTATCCTTCTGGGTCATGTCTCGGATGGGGCTTACAGGCACTGTTCTACAGTGATTCCAGTCCTTCCTGGAGGGAAGAATTCTGAAGACAGAGCCAGGCCATTGGCCTGTGGTATGCCTCAGAGTTCTACTTTTCTCTCATACTGTTTAATATCTACATGAAACAGCTGGTAGAGGTTGTCAAGCATTTGGAATCATAAATATGTGGGTGATAATAAACTCTTATCTCTCTTTTCCATCTAATTCCAAGGAAGCTATTTCAGTTCTAAATCATTGTTTGATGTCAGTAATGGACTGAATAAGAATGAATAAACTGAAGCTTAATCCAGATAAGAGAGAGGTGCTTCTGGTCAGTGAAGAGGCATATCAAGGAATAGGGTTTCAGCCTGTGCTAGATGGTTTTAAAAACTCCATGAAAACATAGGTTCACAGCTGTGCTGTGCTCCTCGATCCTTTCCTGAGCCTAGATGATCAGGTCTCAGTGGTGACCAGGAATATATTTCTACACTTACTACTAGTGCTCCAGCTGCTCCCATTCATGGAGATATGTGTGAGCTGGCAACCAACAGTGGCATATACCTTAGTTACATCTCATGTGGATTACTGTAATGTATTTTGTGTGGGGCTGCCTTTGAAAAGTGTTCAGAAACTTCAGCAGATCTAAAATGCCATAGACAGATTATTAAAGGGGGCTGGTTATGGGGATCTTATAACATCCCTTCTTATGAAAGTTCTACTGGCTGTTTCCAAGTCCAGTTCAAAGTTCTAGTAATTAGCAGCTTGAGTCCAGGGTATCTGAATGACCACCTCTGCCTTTCTGAGCCTGCCTGGGTTTTAAACTCATCGGGAGAGGTCTTTCAGTTCTGCCATCCTCAAGTTTGGAGACCACATGGGGCCTTCTCTGTTGCTGCTTCCAAGCTGTTGAACTCCCTCTCATAGGAGGCCAGGCTTGAACCCTCTTTGTTGTTCTTCTGCAAGCAATCAAAGATCTTTTTTTTT